AGGGAGACGGGGAGAAGTCGAACGAGCTTGGAATACCATTCCTCCTCTGCTACAATGGATTTATGTAGATCAACCTTCGATTAGGTTTCCTTTTGATATTCCGTCTGTTCCAGGGATCGCGAGAAAGACGCGCGCGCGCAGGAGCTGTCCCTGGGACAAGTGCTGGATGTTTCGACAATTAAATGAACGGATGTTTCTAAGAGAAGAGATGATTTTAAGAGCGTTTTAGTAATTGGTTTCGTTTACGAGGAGGGAGTGTTGTGTGAATGTTTGTGTAATATTTTGATATTTAATGGTTATTTAATAATTGTTATTATTCTGGATGGTAGAAATTCTGTATAAAGGAAGAGTAATATTCTGTAATGTTTTTTAATAATTAAGTAGTAATTGTTTCTCTTAGGAAAGGGTAGAATGTAATGTGAAGAATATTTGGGTAATATTTTGATTTTTAATAGTTATTTAATAATTGTTATTATTCTGGATGTTAGAAATTCTGTATAAAGGAAGGATGAACATTGATAGCTATGTAACTATATAACAAATTTGTTAATAGTTATTTTTCTGTTCCTAGTTTGTTCCTTAATAATTAAGTAACAATTGTTATCACTCTGGATATTGGAAATTATATATATAGGAATTTTTTTCAAATTATTTTCCAACGAGAATAATTAACAATATTTTGAATGGAACAATAATCCTGTATTTGCAAGAAGTAGTAATTATTTTTCAATTATTGAATTACCATTTAAAATTTTTCATCTATCCAATCGCTGTAGCGAACAACCATTGATTTTTTCATTGTGCTCTAAAATTTTCAAAATGTAACAGAGGCTTTAGACATCCATTCAAATGATCAAACTTCGAAACTATATACATTGTTCTGCGAGAATAGATACAAAAAACGAGTGAGAGATAGAGAGAGAAATTGGAGTAAACGAGGATTGACGAGAGCTGCATTAAAAATTTATAACGACATCTATAGATTACAATAATTTGGGTGTTTCAATTTTACGATTGCTCTTTCGATGATGGTTTCAAACGCAATGGCAGATGCAGTTTAATTAATCGAGTTCAAAGGGATTTCCGATGTAAAATTCGGTGTAACGTATTCTGCTTTAATTAATGATAATATAACAATTGCTTTTTGATTTAATGAAATTACACAGGGTGTGCGTTTACTTAAAATAATAATCATATTATTATTCTCGTGATATTATAATTATTTATGTCTTCTCACTCTTTCTACATAACATTTGCATTTAATTATCCCGCTTCACTTGTAAATCAGAGCTAATTGAAATGTAAGCTCACATTAGATTCACGTTGCATGCGTTTTTATAAATAGCCGTTCTTGAACTTACTTTTACATTTATATTCATTTATTCATAACCTACATTTAACCCAGATCTAATCTTGCGATGTATTCATGTTTAATACGTTCCATGTAACTTAATAATTAGCTCCCTCCGAAGTGTGAATGTAAAAATACGCAGCCCTTAAATACTTTGAACTTGAGAATAATTAATCAAACGATATTAAAAATACGAGAAACGTGTATTTACATTCTACTCGATATTTTTAAAACACTTCGTTATTCTAATAACCATAAAATTAGAACTTACAGAGTCATTAATGAATTCTTCTGATTTCCCATCTGTTATACAATACACTTGATCGACAATTTATTCAATATCTTTATATTCTTTAAACAAATCCCTATTTTCCAACAAATCACAACAAAGTTTTTCTAAGCATAATTCATAAAAATCATATATCAAGGGGTAAACTCACATTAATTATAAATTAAACAATTGATACCCATATTACTCCATATATTAGATATTACTCCATAACAAAATTCAATATGTTTAACACTAGAACTGCAAGACATATCAAAAAGACATTCCTAATTTCTCAGAAATCATTAAAGAAATTAATTCCAATTAATCTGCAAACTGAATCGAAAATCAATTAAACTGTCAACACATTACTCATCAAGTTTCCATGGAGAAATTTCAAAAAGTCAATTCAACAGCTCGGTAATTTTAGTGTTATAATTTTTTAACAACAATATACCTACAATCATAAATTAAATAACTAAATCTAAATGAATTCCCTTGTTCCCAACCAAAAAAAAGGAATAACAATAGAAAAATGCATTTCACCGAATTTTCAGTTTTTCTGGAATTCTCTAGCTCACAAAATCAAATGTAATTGATCGATGGGAAATTGGAGCGAGGGTGAGCGGGGCTGTGGAAGCGTGGGCGAGCCACGGAGTGCCTCCACGGCGAGTGAAGTCGATAAGCTAACCGCGTGGCTGAATTTAAAGCACAGCTTACAGGTAGTACAGCGAGGTTCAACGCATGAGAATTGCCTGTCACGTGTAATTATAGGCCTGATCGGGAATCAGATTTACCGAGCGACCGCGATCATCGACAAGA